ATGAATTGTGAGTCCTTCCACGTGGTTCTTTCACATTGGGCCTGCAACCAGCCCAAGCCAATAACCGCGTCGAAGGGGCACTGATCAAGGACATAGAAGTTCAATTCATGCGTGATTGTGYGRTCARCGTCAAAGGTAGTGCGCACACCTTTGACTGCATGYGTCGATGTGACAACCTCTTGGTTGCCTACTTGGGTCCGACAAGGATTCTGCAAAGTCACTTGCTTMATCCCCAAGCGTGCCTTACGAATGTCGTGCGGTGAGRAGTAGTTGGCGGTTGCACMACAATCAGCCAACGCACGGACGTAACGACCATTAATGTAGAGTTTGAAGAAGATCAACTTCGTTCTCCCTTGCRCGCGTTCTTGCTTCATATGAGCCCAGCGCGTCAAAAAAGCATGGAAGTCAATCTCTTCCGACTCTACCCAAGGYTCCTTATATAGGAYGTGTATCTTTTCARCCTTGGAATCAGCATCAGATGGGGTTTCAGGARAGGKTTGTTGAGTRGGATCAGAATCCAAAGAAGGATCTGTACTTACATGTTCAGCCTCTCCATCTGTAGAGTGTGCTGATGACGTCTCTACCCCCATTGCTGGKTTCCCTGCTGCAATCTGAAACATTGTKGGAYTGAWTGTCCYGGTTTGGTACAATGCAGGCAAACCCCTTTCTTCACCCAGTGTTTCCACTCACTTTCACTGATCCGGAGATCTACCCATGGTTTTGTGGCAGGATCTTCCGGTTTGGGYGGAAWWTTTGCTCCCTTGGGAAGAAGAATAGTGKTAGTGTTGTTCKTCATTGTGGTCCTYGGTCCCTTACTTTYAAAGGCAGTCTTTTTAAAGGCATTCATAGATTCTTCATCATTTACATTCTCAGACTCATGKGMTGACAAAGAGCAAGATGCCCCGCAGTCTTGCTCTTGATCGTCATCAAGAGAAGATTCATCCACGAGGGTCTCCTCGTCAGCCTCAAGCAGATCATGTGCTACAAAACGGTTGYTGCCTGGAAACCGCTTGCGGCTAGTGGCCTTTCTGCCACTTCATCCACCCGGGAGGGCTTGTGCCTCCAGCTTGACTAAGTCCCGCATGAGGGTAAGCCAATCTGTATATCCGCTGAGCCCGAGCCCTAGGCGATCTTTTAGAGTAGAGGGGACCGTACCTTTTATCACATCCAGACAGGACTGCGCAGTCATCTTCAAATCCGGAGTAGCAAAGAGTTTACTAACATACTGTTGCAGGTTGTGCATGGTGCCAATCCACATGCTGTGCTTGAGTTTGTCAAGCTTGAGTATTGCTTTAGCTGCAGCATGTGGATCAGCATACTGTTTAATCAAGAGGTCCTCGAGTGTGGTGGTAGGCGTGACCTTCAACCATTTGTTCATGTTTATTCTTTTAAAGCCTGATTGGACAGCTTGGGTTTCTAGGAAACCTCTCACGACGGGCTCAACATTAGTCCCCATGATAGACGACTGGGTAGACGAGGGTGTCCCCAACACATCAAAGTAGGATCGCATGGAGCTGATCCAAGACTCAGTGTCGTCCTTTCCGTCATACTTGGACGGAATCGGCGGCGCCTTCCTGTCGATGTAAGCAAAGCAGCCGCCTAGCCCAGCCGTTGGTGGGTCCGGGCCCCGGGTTGCAACAGTTCCAGAATTTCGTGCACCACAACTTGCTGCTGCTGCAGCAGCAGCAGCAGCGGGGTGTGGACCTGCTGCAAATCCGGATTGGCTATTAGCCACACTCGAAGACGAAGAAGAAGTAGAAGAAGACACATTTAGAAGGGCAAAAACAGACTAACACGCAGCACTAGAAGCAGGGTAGGTAGACGAAAGGGTGCTTTGGGCTGGCTGCACATTAGCAAGTTGTTGCTGCTGGTCACGGTGCTGCTGCGCCATCAAGGCCATGTCCTCGCGCAACTTCTTAAGCTCGTCGAACACTTTGGCGAGTTGGCTAGTGTGGTCCTCAACGGTCCGGACATCCACCAAAGCTCGGAGGAGTGGAACGGTTTTCTCTTCCACCTCCTCATCGGTCAGGGCAGGCAAGGTACAAAAGATGGCTTCATGAGCCTTTACCTTCTCCTCCCTCTCCTTCTCTTGCTCTTCCTCCTCCTTCTTCAATGCTTTCTCGTAGAAGAACCGGTACTGCGCTTTCTTTGCCTCAGGGGCAGCGTCCATTTGCAGCTTCCAATCTGCTGCAGAGGCCATGATGGAGGATGAGGGTGTCGATAAGTCTCTCAAGAGGGGTCCGTACTTCCTTACTTGCCTGGGACGAACACTCCTCTTCCCTCTCCTCACTCCCTCAAGAGCAACACTTATAAGCTTCTCTCTTCTCTCTCTCTCTCTCTCGTTTGCGACCGTGTAGACGCAGGCATTAATGAAGCCAATGAAAGAAACATCTTGAAATCATTCAGAAGAGAAGGTTGAACTCCTAGCCGGAGCGGCAATTCATTTGGACTGGAGAGCAGTCAGACAAACAAAAAAAGAAGATCAGAGAGATCTGATCCAGCCACACAGTCTGGACTGACTACGTATGGGGTCCTCCCAAGCCTAGCCTGCCTTAGCTCCGTGAAAACACAGCAAATCAGATTCAAGATGTACAGCGAAATGCAAGAGAGAATTGAGTGGTGTATAAGGTGCGAGTCAGGCGGCGGATTGTGCGGTAAAGTCTGATAAAACGTCCCAGCGGAGATCCCCTCCGCAGCGAGTGTCCTGGTCGGAAAGCATAAGGTTCGTGTCCCAATCAGATAGAGCAAGGTAACTGACGTCAACAGATTTGGCCTGAGGGGCCCTTCTTGTTTGGGCCCGGTCCCACTGAGTCCCAAATGGTCCCAGTGGAGTCAGAACCGGGTCCCAACCAACAAGAGTTCCACAAAGACCTACTCTGTCCCTACTGAATTGAAAAACGAAATTTTGCCCCAGAAAGAACCTGTAGACTACAGCCGTTCAGAATGAAACAAACAAAGCACTGTAGAGAGATATCACATGGCAAACAAGATACTCCATTCATTCACTCGCCAGGTAGTAGGCAGTTCACACACCTCACACACAATCAAGACTATGGAGGATGGAAGAAGAACCCAGAGAACCCCAACAGGCAGTCAGTTCCATGSACACACACATGGGCACCCTCGTGGCACGRCACTKACCTGAGTGGCCGGGCTCTTRAGATGAAAAGAACTCACCCCCCTCTCACATAGTCCTCYTRACCCAATTAGCATCCTCTACACTAGTGTCCTATCATCTAGGAGGGTCAACATCTAMCMCAAAGTACRCAGCCGGATCCCCCGTCAATGTTGAAGATCAAAGCARCAAYTTGCAATCCGTAGGTGCAGATATGGCTGCCACCCTCAAGCTCGCCTACTTGAGGGGAGCCCTAAAGTCACTCCTCGTCTTCCTTGAAGTCCAGATTCAAGTTNGTGCAGATATGGCTGCCACCCTCAAGCTCGCCTACTTGAGGGGAGCCCTAAAGTCACTCCTCGTCTTCCTTGAAGTCCAGATTCAAGTTATAGGTGCCCWTCACTGTCGCCTCTCTCAAATTGCATCACGAAGTCCCACCTTGTGTCTCGCCACCACAAACGTGCACTCAAACAACCTGGCCGGGTCTAGTGTCGACCCTACACGGCCCTGCCAGGTGGGAGCGACTTCCCTTTACCACGCTGTCCCACTTAACCCTAACTTCCAGCCCTAACCCTAAGTGGTTAGCCCTTACCACTAGGGTTAGGGTTATGGCAGCAAAGTCAACTCTCGCCAACAAGTAGAATCCGCTCTGATACCAATGTTACGATCCTGGCCAATTTCGAAGTCCACAATCATTAGAAGGTACAATGTTGTCCAATTGTGAAAAGAAATTAATGAACTTGAGCCCAATGCTGTCCAATTGCAAAAGAAATGAAAGAACTTGAGAGTAGAGAGAGGGAAAGAAAAAGAAGAAGAATCAAGATAGAAGAAAGAGATGATGTACTCCAGCATAGACCAAAGACAAAGCTCTTCTTCTTCGCTCAACAACCTCCTCCTTTTTATGTCCTCCTCTCTTATTCAAACAATAAATAAACAACCAGAATCAACGTCCGAATCCTAGTTCTACTGCAGGCACAAGATGAGGTCCACCATAGCCATGGCAACCCTTCTTCTTCCTCTACATACAGGTCGAGGCTATGGTGGACTATTGAGGCTTCAACCTCCTGTCCAAAGGACCACTCAAAGCAGCTATGCGAGTGCTCCACTTCAAGATCATCACCATGCAGCTATGCCACCATGCCCGACTCTATCCCGAGCTTCCTTGATGCGGCACTACCCCCACTGGGGCCTTCCTGATGCAGCGCCTAGCAAGGAGATGAAGATGGTGTCTACCATAGCCAGCAAGTGCCTCGCCACTCTCCTCCTTGGTCCCCTTCTCCCTCCTCCTACCGGTAGAGCTCCACCATAGCCAAGGTGGAAGCTCCCGGCTTCTTCCTCCCAGCAGCGCTGTAGTGCCCAGCGCTACTCCAGCCAGTGCTCCAGCAGCGTGACGCCCAACTCGCACACTGAAGAATGAGGCTGGGCTCTCCACCCTGCCTCTTGATATAGTGGCCTACTTGCCGCCTGGGCGGTGACTTCCAGGCCGCTCGGCCTCTCCAAGCAACCGGTACTTCCTCCGTTTCGAAGGGAAATATCATTTGAGACCCTGATATTACCCGTACAGGCGCTAGACTCAGACTGGTTGGACTGGTACCGGCCTAGACCTACCCTACCGCTACAGGACTCTAAAAATGCCAACTTTGTCTTTTTCTGCTCGGCCTCCAGTACCCCCTCACGCCAACTGCAGTGGGTTGCAGTATCGGCCTACTGGCCTACTTGAGTGTTTTTCCGCTACCCCAAGGGCCTCGGGGCCGCTAGCTTCGCCACTTGAGTGTTTTTCCCT